CTCGCTTTCAGGACTATTTTTGTCCCGAGTCCAGTCTGATGAGYCRCTGCCACRCRTTGGTGCAGATATCTCCTGTCAGGACACCGACTGCAGGCACTCGATTTCAGCTAAAGAGCTCCTCTCCATCTGTTTCAGGTTAGTGGACATCATTCAGTAAACTGTCCCGTCGGGAAATATGTCGCTACGTCACACAGTGGAGTCTCTCTGATTGGTTGACGCGGCGCGTTGAGCTGCCAAAGTTCAGATTTTCTAACTTCAGCGATTTGCGCAACAAGCACATCGAACGCTCAGATCGTTCAAATCGTTCAAATCGCGCTGCTCTAATCGCGCTTGAGGCGCCGCAGCACTTCCCAACGCTGATTGAAGCGCGTCCACCATAGACTTTGCATGTAAACTTGATGCTCCTGATGCTGAAATCGCGTTTGGTGTGAACGCACCATTACATTTTGACAGTAATTTAGAGTCTGATTAGTTTAAATGTTGTAATTTATTGCACTGACCTTTGTCACCAAGCAGTTTCACCCAAATAAACATATTTCATATTCTTGGTGTTTTAGCTACAGCAGAGAAGCAGCTCCATGTTTTCCAGCCGTCCTCCGTCAGACAGAGATGAAGCTGAATTGTTAGAATTCAGATCATGGAAACAGCTCTATGATGGAGAGACTGAAGGAAGATCMTCCATAGAACAAAAAAGTCATTAGTAATTTTGTGAAAATAAACTTGATTATAGTTATTTTATAAACAATACAAAAATTGTCATTACTAGTTTTTGTTCTGTTGTTGCCAGTTTGTTACAGAAACCAACCCGTAGAGTGTTGAGCATTAAACATCTGTATCAGATGGAAAAAAAATCTGATTTAAAATAGATAAATATGCACAATGTACAAGATGTGTCTGTAATGTCACAGCATTAGGACAGGTGCCCTCTTTTTACTTTTGAGCACCTGCCCCCGAAAATGTCTGTGCATGCTACTGACAGGGGATGAACTCGGAAAGATGCCACCGTTTGGATTTACCGGAAAAGCCAGAGACTTTAACCACCGATTCAGAAAGATCTAGTGGCATATTTACTGAACTGAATCGAGCCCCAGTATCAACCAGCGCACAGCACTCATGCCGTCCATTGTAAGTCTTACAAAAGATTCAGAGTACTTGTGAAGTCCAGTCGCAGACTCCTGGCACACCTAACTTAGTTGGAAACCACCCCCCCATACCTGCGACCCAAGCCGGCCCCTGCTTATGTGTTGGGTCTGTTTGTGACTGAGTGGGTGGATAAACCGCATGTGGGTACACCGGACCTGCCACCTGCTGAGATGGGCCCGCCCCAATAAATGGACACGCTTTAGACCAGTGGCCCATTTGACCACACATATAACAGCCGTTGAAGTTGAAGTTAGACCTCCTTTCCTTTTTACCTCTGCGGTTGCCTCTAGCACCCCTCCACTGAGGAGGTGGGCCATGTTGCTGAAAACCCTGACCCTGGCTCATCGTCACATTGCCACTAGTAGGCGTCCCATATTGTGCCTGTGGTCCTGTTTGAGGTGCCCCACAAACTGACTGTGGTCCTGTTTGAGGTCCTGGCTGTTGCATCACAACCATCTGTGGCACCTGTACAGTTTCCTGTTTTGCTTGATTCACTTTATCTCTGAGATCTTTTAACTTAGCTTTTACTAACTGTGCTTCCTGTGATTTCATTTCTTTTGCCTCTGAAATGCGATCTTTTATTTCACGGTCAACATAACGTATAGTTTGGTCTGCCCACTGCATAAAGCAGCTTTGCTAAACCCACGACACGACTCAGCTCCTCTTTTACTTTGTTTGACTGAGAGCTCACCTCGGCCGTTTTAAACAGAATCAGAAATGCTCTGTCACAAACTGGATCTAAACCTATTCTGGACTCCCACAGCTGTTTGACCCTTGTCAAGTAAGCTGTCCCTCTTTCATCTTCTTTTGGCGGAATGTTATTCAACTCAGCTGCCTCTGTGTCAACTGGATAAAGCTCCCTAATTTTGGGCCACAGAATATAAACACACCTCTCCAAAATCACTTCATCCGGAAGATTTGTCATTGCAGCCCACGCCTATAGTTGTGTCAATTCATTTATCGATGTGCAAGCAGAGAAGATTCTCCTAAAATCACAGATACACGGGATAACACCTGAACATGCCTGCAGAAATTCCTTTGTCCAGATTGCTCCTCCTTTTTCAATAGCTGATAACATCCCTTTAATGAGCTGTGTGTCCTGCATTGTGAATGGTTTGTATGTGACAGTCTGTCGGCCCCCATCAGCTGTTGCTGTTAACAAAGTGTACATCCCCCGACCTTTACCGCTGTCCATACATGAGTAGACATTGGAGACGGGTTCACTGTCATCATATTCCCTTCGCTGGTATGGCCACTGTGCAATACTCTGATGCGGTGTGTGCGCTCGCTGAAATCTAGTTCGATGTGCGTTTGAGTCATGTGTCATCTGAGTGCCAACATGTGCATGTCCAGTAGATTTCGCCTTCGCACTTCCACCACAGTCTAAGTCTGCTTCCCTGTCTATTCTTCCAGACTGAGCGCTCCGACAAGACCTTTGTCCCTCTTCAGTAACAAATCTGGATATCACCTCTCACTGCACACTCATCCTCCTGATTGTCAATCTGGACTAAGCCTTTAATGGACAAATACGCAGTTCGGTTTTTCTGTCCACCATTTGATTCCATTAGAATAGAACCACATGCAGCGTCCACACTTCCTGATGGCTGACTGTCCTCCATGACTGGCATTTGTCTGTTAAGTTGGGTTAACATGACCGTGAGTTCTTGATAAGGTTTTTTTTTTTGTTTCAATTGTACAGTCGTGTCAACGTCTGTCACAGCAGCAGGTGGTGTTTTGGTGACGCTCAGTGTCATTTGTTTTGTCTGTCCGTCAGCATCAGAAGTCTTTAAAGTGTCAGTACTGTTAGGAGTTAAGGTCTCGGTTGTCTGTGTTTCAATGCCGTTAACAACGTCCTTCATCATTCTGGATACACGCCTCCAATACTTGTGGATAGCTTCCTTCTCTGCTGCCTCTCTGCTCCAAAATGGCTTCTCCTGATCATTCTCAACTGCTTTATGCCACGCACGCTCCAATTTACAAAGAATTCTGTCAATTGCCACCAGACTTGGCGCTCCCATTGTTAGGTCCATGAAATCTCCTGCATCCAGCAGCTTTACACACATGTCACTGAATCTGTCCCTCTCTTTTTTTACCTGTTTGATCTCTGTCTCCTCCAGAAGAATCTGCCACGTCATGCACAAAGTCCACCCCAGGGAACCTTCCTGGCACTTACTACACTCCTCAAAAAAATTATCAGTCACATTTACTAATTTGTAGGCAAGAGTTTACAATGTTAACAATGATACATGTTCAAAACTTGAATGCACAGTTTTTTTTACGTCCTCATCTGACTCAAAACAGTCTCACAAAACAACCTTCAACAGGCCTCCGGACGGCCTTGGCTGAAAAAAAAAAACAAGCACAGAAGAGCTTTGCTCTGAAACAGAGCTCCTCACACAAACTAAGCTGCTTTTATTATTAATTTATGTACAAGGCAGCAATAAACACGTAACCAACACAGAGGAGAATTGGCCGCAGTGCCACGATTAAAGGTTTCTCCCGAAAAGGACCCTCCTTGTGGATGTCTGCTCCAGACCAGTTAATCGCTTTTAATTACTCCCTGTGCAGTTACCTTAAGCTTAATTGTTCAAGCTAAACTAACACCACCCCAGTTACCCACACATCGACAGTTGGAAAGGCAGATTTCTGGAGAAATCATCCTGTGAGGATCAAACCATCCTTACCCGTCAGCTCAAAAAGGCCAGTTTCTGGGAGAACCAGCCCTCGCAGTACCCCAAAAGTCCATCAAAATGACAAAAACTGGATTTTATTTTAGTAAAACACCAGAATACTAAAAACTGTGTTTTCTTTAATTCCCACCAGAATAAAAAAAACTGGTTTTTATGTGAAACATGCATCAGAATACTAAAAACTGGATTTTATTTTAATTAAACACCAGAATACTAAAAACAGTTTTTTCTTTAATTCCCACCAGAATACAAAAACTGGATTTAATTTTAATTCCCAAAACTATTCCACCAGCCAGTACTGTTTACCAGTCTCTGGCTTAATGAACCAATTTCAACCTGGAAAGACTCACAAGACAGACTGGAATTAGGAGGTTTATTGACATGACTGGACCAACATGGTTATTGACATAAATGGCATTAGAGTGTGACGCTCGGACCCCGGCAGAGGACGAGAGCGCTGAGTGAAGATGAAATCTCATACGAGATACTTTAAGTTAGGGGTAAGAGATTTGATCCCCCTGGGGCCCGACACTGTAGCCTGGTTAAAACCAGACCCTGTCCTTCACTTTGCTTCATACAAGGGTCTGGACTTGATGCACAGAGAATCGATTTCTTGCAGGAGGCGTGGCCTCTGCTGAAGTTTAAAATGATTGGATCAGTTGGCTCTGACGCATGTCGCTGTGATGGAGGCTAAGCTAAGAAGCTAACCGGAAATCGCGTGTGCTCTAAACAACCCTACTGAGAGGAAAGATGCTTGGATGAGGCTGGGATTGTGATTGGACACAGCTGAGCTTGAGACGTTGAGATCAGCAGGAGCAGGTGAGGCCATAGTCTTCCAGAGTTGAATTTTCGTTTAAACTCCATTTTAAAGAAAACATGCACGAGATATCCCCCAAAAGGCATTTTATATGGCCCCTTTCCTGATCCTTCTTCACATAACCTCTGCTTTTTCTACACAGCGCCTGATGCAACTTCCGTAATCACTGCACCCATGTCACGTGACGATGGTGTTAGCACTAGCCCGATCAAAGTAAGCGGCTATCAGAGCAATGAAAGGAAAAATGCATTTTTCCTTCCGTATAGCCCCCCCCCTCCCCAAGTTGAAGCAACTACGCAACGCTGGCCACTTAAAATGTTACAAGGTTTAAGCAAATTAGGTTCGCTTACCTCTGATTTTTTCGGTGCCTGTGGGCTGTGTAGAATAGCCAACTTCCAGTCAGGGCTGGCCTTCCGAACTAGGCCGCTAGCAGTCTGCACATTGTCGCTCTCACACTGAGGTACGTCGGGGTCATCAGCTGAAAGAAATAGGTGATTTATTGTGTTCGTTACCAAGATGTGTGCGAAACCGTACAAAAATGTGCCTCAGAAGTTGTGAAAGAACAACAGAAACAGAACTTGAATGTGTTAACAGGAAATGATGTTTTTCAGCCACCTTTTGCACATATATCACAGCCCTCACACCAAAATCCTTCTGCTATATCTAAATCCAACTCCATTTCTTCCTGTAGTCCCTTAACTTCAAGTTGTGTTTTTATCTCTTTAAGAATGGTCTTGCGGACGTCAGGGTTCTTGACTATCTTTGCTGCATTTTGGCCACACTGTGGAAAAAAACACAAATTTAATTAAGCCTTAAGTAAAAAAAAAATCTTTTAAAGAAACAGTGAAGCATAAAATGTAATGAAGGTAAAAGCAACAGAAGTGACAGGATGCTGTAACAAAAAGTACTGTCTTCTTAATATTTTACAGTTTTAATGTTTAAAGGGTTATAAGTGGAACAGTTTTCATTTAAATTCAATAATTGTTACTTACAGTGGTTTGCAAAAGTATTCATACCCCTTGAACTTTTCCACATTTTGTCACATTACAACCACAAACATAAATATATTTCACTGGAATTTAATGTGAAAGACCAACACAAAGTGGTATACAATTGTGAAG